AATCAAGAAGTTTAATCTTTCTTTAGAAAGTGAATTTTCAATTCCTTCATTTTACTTGCATTTTCTCTCTTGCATTCATTTTCTTGCTTTCATTTCATATTGTTTTGTTGTAATCTAACCGGAAGTAATTAGTTTTCAATTCTTCATTTTATCGCACTTTCTAACCTATACTTATTTTCCTATTTTAGCTTCACATTAGTTTTATTGTAATCTAATTGGGAGTAGTTAAGTTGAGCCACCTACATATTCTTTTTTTGTTCTTTTCTTGGTGTTGGAACAACACAGGTTTTGCTTGGCCTAATAAGTCATCCAGCCAACGACTAACTTTTGGATAGAACAGAGTAGTCTTCCGGTGTTGAGCATACCAACTTCCGATGGTCTCTGAGGCACTTGAAGCTATTGTTTTTATTTTCATTTGAGAGATTTGTGAGGTTTTCATTTTGTTGTAATATTCTCTCTCTCTTTCTCTCTCTCTCTCTCTCTCTCACACACACACACACACACACACACATTTGGTTTTAAATTTTAATTATTCTTTCGAGTGTTGTAATAATTCTCCACCCTGCTTCTTTCTATCCAATTCTTTTACTTTCTTTCCTTATTTGTGTATAAGCATCATATTTTGTTTTCATCAAATCCACGTTTTGCATCCATGTTTGATGCATATGGATTCGGTTAAGTTTGCATTTGTGGATTTAATTAACTACTATGTGATTATGTGTGCTATCTTATGTTCTTGAGATGATTAACATGTCATATATTAGAAGCCAAATCATTAGCTACATTTCATGATTTACCATGCCGCTTGTGCGTTTTTTTCTTACTATGTTTAGCATTCTACCATGAGGCTACTTGCTTACTTGATATAACTATATGAATGCCAATGGATAAAGGTTGTGTCGCTTAATTTGGAATGATACTAATTTTCTTATTTGTAAACTCAATTTCTTTGAGTTGTACATTTCAAAACTCTTTCAAACTACATGAAATCAAGTTATTCCAAAGTGGGTGGCATAGTCTATACTTGTATGCTTCACATAGTAAATTGTAGGGTTTATTTGATAACAGGAATGTGAACATATAAAGTTAATAAAACTCATATCATAGTTTAGTAGAGACCGATTTTCTTGATTGGGGTGATTGGGGGTGCTCAATTAATGACCTTCCCCTCTTATACCGAAGGCTCCGAGCCATGCATCCTTGGTTATAATGAGCAATGGCCTTGGCATGGGTCAAGGGTTTCTTAATTTTTTCAAAAATTTTAGGCGGTGACTATAAGATCTAGTGATGTAGTCCATTTTTGGCAAAGATTTTGTCTTAAAATAAATTTTTCATAAAAGTTGCCAAATCTGGATTCTCATCGATGTTTCGTATTGCACTCGTGAGACTAGATAAAAGAAGTCGAGAGTCCAAACTATTTAATGCACATGGGTACCCCCGTACGTGTTTCAGTTTTTGGCTACTCTACTGGAGATTTTATGAAACCTTTATTCGAACTCCACGATATGATTTTTATTTTCAATTATATGTTCGTTGCATTGCATGCATTGGTGCACTTAAAGTCCTGTATTGCCCAGATGCTGGTGGGAGCACATGCAAACTTTTTGTGACACTATACCTATCTCTACGTTACTTTTGAGGCCTTGTGTTATAACCTTTTGAGATCTGTCAAAAAGGTAGCTCTGCTATCTAAGGTTCTCAGACTTCGAAGAGAGGCTATATTCACTCTTATGACTTTTTGGGATCTTCATTGGTTATTACCCAAAGGTGTCTTAGGTAACATCACATTGACTTCAACCCCTAGAGTAGAGCCAACGTTGTACATATAGTGAGCTATAGTACCTTCCAACATTAGGATAGGATGCTCTCCCATTTCTAGAGGTATGACACCGCTTGTTTCAACAATGAAACCCTAGATCATTCCAAAGCTAGGACAGGGTAACCCTAGCCTCCATAGGGGTGTTTGTTCTCTTTTCTACTATATGCTATGTGCAATGTATGGGATCATTATAGGGATTCTTAGATTCAAATGAATGGTTCAAGCATTTCAATTTGTGGGGTTGAGTTTAGTTTTTCGGCATGATTTAGCAGTAATCAGTTGACCTAGCATGTTGCTGAAATTTTGATTGAGGGTTCCGTTTTATTTTTGCAAGGTAGTGTGGCACCATAGCTTCAGAACGGTTTGATATCCCTCAAGTTATGTTGACTCACGTTGATAGGCTCTGTAAGACTGTAGATTTGGTTCAAAGACAACCAGTGTTAGTTTCTTTACCACCAGCTATACGAAGAAAAAGAGAGTACTCCTTTCTCACCAGCTAGATCATCCCCGCTTAATTCATCAGAATCAGTGATGGCTCAGGTTTCAGAAAATATAGTGGACATGTTATTGGCCCTTCAACGAAGTATGAATGCTATTGCCAATACAGTTGCCACCCAAGGTTACACTTTTGTTGAATTACGACGCCCATCTGGGGCATCTACAACTTTACCACCTTTGTTGATTCATCCAATCCCACCTTTACCAGCTAAGGAATTTCCTGAACCCAACTTATTAGAAGAATTGTGGATTCCTGCACAATCATCGGGAGGACCTTTTCCTCTTCCACAACCAATGGAAGGGTTCTTTCCCTTGGAAACGAATGAATTTGATCCTATTATGCTAAAACTAGCCAAGTTGGAGAAAATGTTTAAAAGTTCTCGAGGAATTAACTCTATCCTAGACATCAAAGATGGGTATACTGACACAGTTGCCAAGCTGCCTAAACGATTTAAGATGCCACAGATTGATAGATTCGATGGTTCTAGTGACCCTATAGTGCATATCTGCTTCTTTTCTGATGTTCTAAAGCCTATGGGTTTGACTCGTCCACAAAAGCTATCTCTATTCGGACAACCTTTTGTTAGGAGTGGCTGCTATCTAGTATACCAAGTTAAAAGATTCGATGAAACAAAGTTGAGAAGAACTGGCTGAGGCTTTCATCACCCATTGTGCTTACAACACTCAGATTAAAGTGACCGCTTAGGAGTTAGAAGCAACCCAATAGGAACCAAGCGAAGGTTTTGTAGCCTTTATTGCTAGATGGAGGGCCAAGGCAACAATGATGACAAAGAGACCACCAGAGAAAGATCAAATCTGCATGGTAGTAAGATATCTACATGGAAAAATGTTGCAAAAAATGATAGTTCTTCCACTTTTAACTTTCAAAGAGCTGCTTGAAAAGGGAGTTCAGATAGAGGACGCCATCAAGTAAGGAATTACAGTGGATGAGAACGAGCCGGTACGAAAGACCTTTGGCCACAATCCAAACACTGCCACCAGCAGTAACATGTCTTCAAATTGATGTATACTGCAATAAAAGCACGTGCGGTGGGGACTTCCGTACGTGCGGCGAAAGGTGGAAAATTCTGCTAATTTCGTTTTCTCTTTTCAACCCTCTAAACATGTGAAGATGACCATTTGATGCTTCTGTAACGCGTATAATTTAATGGGTTTTAACAAATAGAACATGGAATAAAAAGAGAAAACTAAAACAAGTGATGTACTTACGAATTGTGTACTATGTGTAGGAACGTGCAGGAGGGGACCGTTGTTCATCCACATCACTGTGAGTAATAGTAATGTACTGATATGTTTCCTACACGTATTGTACTCCCCTTTGTTGTCCAATAACTATTCTATTTTTGCTCTCAAATAGCTTATGCCATATGAATTATGTTTGATAAAACAAGTGAAGTGATTAAACGTTGACACATGAGATATGCACCGGAGGCTATTTTGTATCACATTGGGCCTAAGGCCGTTCTGTATCACATTGGGCCTAAGGCCATTTTGTATCACATTGGGCCTAAGGCAGTTCTTTACTGCACTGGGCCTAAGGTTGTTTTGTATCACATTGGGCCTAAGGCCATTTTGTACACATTGGGCCTAAGGCCGTTCTATATTACATTAGGCCTAAGGCCGTTCTGTCCTAAGTGGGCCTAAGGCCGTTCAGAAAAGGAAATGTAATTAAGTGTGACTTGAAATTTACGAATCTGCACTACAAGATTTATGTTCATGCACACAATCTTTTTGCATTGCTATTATTCACTAAGCCTTGCTCACCTTGCTTTTATGAATGCTTTTTGTATGTAACCAGTCAGCAGGACAACCCTAGGTCAGCCGCTGGTGCCTTTTGTTGGACCTATTTTGCCGAGTCACTCGAAGTGGCCATTTGTCTTTTCTGTCATGAGGATTCCTTGTATTGGCATGGGTAGCTAGTTTTTGGATGAACTATCTTAATACTTTGTCAATATGTAATTTTTGGGTCGCTTACTACCCTTGTATAGACTTATATGTATGCACTTATTACAAGCGTGTGTATCCATACTATTTTCTGTTAAGATCCTGGCATTTAGACATAGCTCAATGGATGTTATATGTTGATATTATATTTGCTTCCGTTTATGCCCCTGGGTTGTATCAAACGTCAGTTGAATTTTGAGGCCCAAGTCTAGGCTGGTCATGTCCGAACTTTTAGAGGCAAGTTTAGGTCGTGACAATTGATATCAGAGCACGAGTAGCTGTCTCACACACGGGTCCATTGAGCTTAAGAGAGTCTAGAAAAGACTTAGGTTACATGCATAGCACTTCTTGATGCATACAACATGATATATAGCAACAAGGTTCGTATATGTAATGATTAACACTATGTGTTATAAAACCAATGTATCTTGTGTATGCCTGTGTGTACTGTAATTGATTGATATGCAGATCATGGTGAGCATGAGGATGGATGATTCTGAGGATGCCACCTCCACATGGTTGGATAAAATGGAACAGATGATTATGGAGATGGCAGAAACTTTGAGGCAACAACAGCAACAGCAGCAACAACCACCACCACCAGTACCTGTACCCTCGCCAACAGAACAAGATTACCTAGCTGAGGATCGAACAATTACGCTCACGAAGGAATTCAAGAAGATGAAACCACCCTCGTTCAAGGCAGGGGATTGAACCAATGAAAGCGAAAGCGTGGGTGTTGGGTATAGAAAAGTTATTTGAGATTTTTCCATGTACGGAGGCTCAAAAAGTGCAAATTGCAGCGTTCAGTCTTGAAGACAAAGCACGAAGGTGGTGGATTCTCACAAGAACTGAACATCAAGAGTTAACACGGCTTCAATTTTTGAAGCTGTTCTATGACAAGTATTTTCCACAATGTACACGGGACAAGAAAGTGACTGAGTTTGAGACCTTGAGACAAGGGAACAGGACTGTTGTAGAGTATGAAGCTCAATTTACTGAATTGGACCGTTTCGCACAACATATGGTGGATACGGACTACAAGACGGCGAGAAAGTTTGAAGGAGGATTACTGACTGCTATTCTCGACCTGATCAATGTGTTGAAATTACCTACATATGTTAATGTGTTGGAAAGGGCAGTAATTGCTGACGGTAATATTGCCGCTCAAAGCCGAGTCTCAGAATGGAAAGGGAAGAGACAGAATACCCAAGCCTCAAGGGGTTCAGTGGCATCACCGAGTAAGAAATTGAATTCGGGAACTTCTAGTACTTCCACCTGTACCCATGACTCTGCACCAATTTGTCTGGATTGTGGAAAGAGACACCATGGGATTTGTTACCAGGTAACGACGGCATGCTTCAAGTGTTGCAAGACGGGTCATTTAGCAAGGGATTCCCGCAAAGGGATCAGTAGAATGGGAATAGAACTACCACAAGTTCAGCTGGCTTAATTCCTACCCCAACCACAAAGGCAGCTACAAAACCAGCCAATGCTAAAGATACCGCTAGGCAGGTAGAGTATTTGCACTAGTTCTGGATGATGTATAGAACACCAAGGCTGTGGTATCAGGTACTTTTTCTGTTAATGATTATTCCGTACATGTGTTATTTGATTCGGGCTCTACCCACTCCTTTGTGTCAAAAGCATTAGCTAGCCATTTAAATAGGCCTATGGAATCGTTACCGTATGTCTTGTGTGTGTCCTCACCATCGAGGGAGTCTACGGTATGTGCATCTATTTATTTTGCATGTGAAATCCTAATTGGGGATGCTCGGGTAGATGCCAATTTGTTACCTCTTGACATGGCTCACTTTGACATAATTTTAGGGATGGATTGGTTAAGCAAATGTCATGCGACTATTGACTGTATGTCGAAACAAGTTACCTTCCAACCCCTGGGTTAGTTTGAGTTTATTTTTAAAGGGCAGGGGGTGATTTCCCCACGTTATTTGATTTCTGCAATGAAGGCGTGTAAATTATTACAAAAGGGTTGTTTGGGGTATTTATGTAGTATTTTGGGTGAATAACCAGCGGATGGGGGCATTAATGCAATCCCAATTGTTCGTGATTTTTCTGATGTTTTTCCAGAAGAGTTACCGGGAGAGTTAATTGATCACGAAATTGAGTATACAATCGATGTAGTGTCGGGAGCTCAGCCCATTTCCAAAACTCCTTATAGAATGTCACCTGCTGAAATGAAAGAGTTGAAAGTCCAGCTGCAAGACCTACTCGATAAAGGGTTCATTCACACAAGTACTTCTCCTTGGGGTGCACCAGTTCTTTTTTGTGAAAAAGAAAGATAAGACCTTTCGGTTGTGTGTGAATTACAGAGAACTCAATAAAGTGACCATAAAGAATAAGTATCCTTTTCCTAGGATCGATGATTTGTTTGATCAACTTCAGGGTGCACAAGTCTTCTCCAAAATAGATTTGCGGTCTGGGTATCACCAGCTAAAGGTTAAGGCCAAGGATATCAAGAAAATTGCTTTCTGAACCCGTTATGGACATTATGAATTTTTGGTTATGTCATTTGGAGTTACCAATGCACCAACGGCCTTCATAGATCTAATGAATCGTGTTTTTAAGCCCTATTTGGATGACTTTGTGGTTGTGTTTATTGATGACATCCTTATTTATTCAACAAATATAGAAACTCACGAAAACCATTTATAGTTAATTCTTCAGACCCTTAGAGATAAGAAACTGTAGGCAAAATTGAGGAAATGTGAGTTTTGGTTACATGAAATGGGATTTTTGGGTCATGTCATAACGATGGAGGGTGTTTTTGTCAACCCCCACAAAATCGAAGCTATTGTTAATTGGCCAACTCCTATGAACATAACCAAGGTGCGTAGTTTCTTGGGATTAGCCCGGTATTACCGGAGGTTTGTTAAGGACTTTTCAAAAATTGTTGTACCACTCACCCAATTGACCTAGAGGGGAGTTCTATTTGAATGGTCAGAACAATGGGAATCTACCTTTCAGGAGTTGAAGACAAGGTTAACTATAGCACCCGTCCTTGCCCTACTTTTTGGTACCGAGGGATTTGTGGTTTATAGTGATGTTTCTTACAAAGGGTTGGGCTGCGTGCTTATGGAAAATAGAAGGGTCATCGCATATGCCTCTCGCTAATTTAAACCCGATGAAAAGAATTATCCCACGCATGACCTTGAACTCGCTGCAGTAGTCTTTGCTTTGAAAATATGGCGGCATTGTTTATATGGTACTACATGTGAAGTCTACACGGATCATAAGAGCCTCAAGTACTTCTTTACCCAAAAGGAGTTGAATATGCGACAAAGACGATGGTTAGAGCTTACCAAGGACTATGACTTGCATTCCATTACCACCCCAGGAAAGCCAATACCATTGCAGATGCCCTTAGTCGAAAGCATATGGGGAATTTGGTGAATTTACTCGCAAGACAGAAGGAACTACTATTTGACTTGGAAAGAATGAATGTCGAAATTGTATCACACGGACAGTGGCGGGGATGTCAGCTCAACCGACATTTATTGAAGAAATCAAACGACGACAACTAGAAGATGCGTTTTTACAAAAAATTTGTGATGAAATGGAAACAAATCCAAAATCTAGGTTCATTATAGACAATGCGGTGCTGAAATTTCAAGGCAAATTATGTGTTCCAAATGTGCCAAAAATCAAGCAAAGAATTATGGAGGAAGCACATAACTCCAAATTTACGACGCATCCCGGTAATACGAAAATGTACCAAGATCTGAAATAGAATTTTGGTGGCCTGGTATGTAGAGGGAAACTGCGGAATTTGTCTCAAGATGTTTGCAGTGTCAACAAGTAAAAGTGAAGCAGCAAAGACCGGCGGGTTTACTTCAACCCCTTCCAATTCCAGAATGGAAGCGGGAACATTTGACTATGGATTTTATTGTGGGTTTACTGCGAACTCGTCGGGGTATGAATTCCGCATGGGCTATTGTTGATAGGCTAACTAAATCAGCCCATTTTTGACCTGTGAAAACTCAATACAATGTAGACAAACTTGCTACGGTCTATATGAACAAAATTGTGCGGCTGCATGGTGTTCTAGTTTCAATAGTGTCTGATAAAGATCCAAAATTTGTGTCAAGATTTTGGCAAAGCCTATAGGATGCTATGGGAACAGAGCTAAGGTTCAGTACGGCCTTTCACCCTTAAATAGATGGCCAGTCTGAGAAAACAATCCAAACACTAGAAGATATGCTTTGGATGTGCGTTTTAGACTTCCAAGGGAGTTGGGAAACTTATTTACCGTTGGCGGAATTTGTGTACAACAATAGTTACCACTCAAGTGTAAGAATAGCACCTTACGAAGCTTTATACAGAAGAAAATATCATTCTCCTGTGTGTTGGACCGAAGTTGGGGATAGATCGTTGTCTGGACCTGAGATTGTTCAATTGGCAATAGAGAAAATTAAAACTATTCAAGAAAGGATGAAGAACGCAAAGAGTAGAGAAAAGAGTTATGCAAATCACCGGAAGAAATTTAGAATTTGAAGTGGGTAATCATGTCTTTGTAAAAGTCACACCAATAAAGGGAAACTCGAGATTTGGCAAAAAGGGTAAGTTAGCACCCCACTATGTTGGTTCGTTTCAAATTCTAAAAAGAGTGGGTCCAGTAGCCTAACGTATTGCTCTTCCGCCTAACATGAACCAAGTGCACAACATGTTTCATGTGTCTATGTTACGAAGTGACATACAAGATCCATCCCATGTCATAGATTACCACAAATTGTTTTGGATGACAACTTGGTTTATGTGGAGAAACCTATTCAAATTTTAGACCGACAAGTAAAGCAGTTGCATAGCAAAACAATTCTAATGGTAAAGGTTAAATGGCAGAAACATTACGGAAAGGAAGCCATGTGGGAAAAGGAAGAGGAAATAAGACAATAACATCCAGAAGTATTCTCAACTTAAGGTAAAACAAGTTTGAGGGACCAAATTTATTTAAGGGGGGGAAAGTGTAATAACCCGACCCTCTTATATGCTTTATATCTTTAGTTATATGAGTAATTACATGTTTAGTGTGAAATTCCATGTGGAGTTATGCTTATATATATGAATTAGCCAATTATCATATTATATCTGTCGGAATTAAGACATTTGGACTAGAAATTGAAAGTCTTAGGAGCGCGATAATCCGAAATTGACTTTACCATAATGATTAGTGTGAATTTTAGAGCATAATATAAATTTTCGTGGAAATTTGATTCGTAATGAATTAATTGATATAGTGTAGGCCCTATTAACTTAACTAATGGGCCTTAGATATAAGAGATATATGTATAACTGTAGAAGACTTAGTCAACACAACTCCAAATATCTCCTGGTAGAGAATTCTGAAGAAAAGAGAAAGAGGGAGAGGAGCTTAATCAAGATTTGGAGATTGAAGGACTTGCTAGGGGGATTTGAAGAAGAATACAACTTAAAGTGAGTATAAATCACTAGCAAATTTTCAATTCTTCTTCGTCTAGTTTGAATCAAGCTTTGAAATGAATTGTCATCCCTGGAAGCTAGGGTTATTATTGTGAATGACCAAGTCTCATAAATAATCATGTATTTCTTGGATGTGTGTGATGGGAAACTTGATTCCTCTAGGTTATGTTTAATTTGTTTTGGATTGAGAGGAATTGTACCTAATTTGCTTGAACTCATGTAAAAATGGATATGTACCTATAGGTATATATATATATATCTTATAGTGAAGATAAAGCCAATATGGAATTGGAGGTGTAAAGCCCAAATAAAACAAGTCTTGATCTCATGGGTTAGAATTTCATGTTTATATATTTATATGCTATATTTTTGAAGTAAATTTTACTTAATTTTGGCTATATGGCTATCCCTTCCAAGCTCAAAATTGTTGAAGTTTTGGACTGAAAAACAGGGTCAGGACCGCACCCGTAGGGCCCACAGCCAGACATGCGAAAAACAAGGGAGGCAAACTGATGTATACTCCAAAAAAAGCACGAGCGGGCTGCATGTGCGGCGCACCTTCCCACACATGCGGTACGGACTTCCGCATGTGCGGCGAAAGGGGAAAAATTCTGTTAATTCCTTTTGATCTTTTCAACCCTCTGAACATGTGAAAGTGACCATTTGATGCTTCTGTAATGCGTACAATTGAATGGGGTTTAACGAATCGAACATGAAATAAAAAGAGAAAACTAAAACAAGTGATGCACTTATGAATTGTGTACTATGTGTAGGGCACGTGCAGGAGGGGACCATTGATCATCCACGTCACTGTGTGTAATAGTAATGTACTGATATGTTTTCGACATGTATTATACTTACCTATGTTGTCCAATAACTATTCTATTACTGCTCTCAAATAGCTTATGCCATATGAATTATGTTTGTTAAAATAAGTGAAGTGATTAAATGTTGACACATGAGATATGGACCGGAGGTCGTTTTATATCACATTGG